GGAGAAGGAGAAGGAGAAGGAGAAGGAGAAGGAGAAGGAGAAGGAGAGGGAGAGGGAGAGGGAGAGGGAGAGGGAGAGGGGAAAACCCACATATTTTTGAAACTAACGTTTTAGCGCTTGGCTTCAAATGCATAGAATGTTTGCTCTGCAAACGAGGATGCACTTACAAAAAAAAAACCACCCTCAACACGTGTTATAAATTATTAAAGCGTAAATAAACCTATAAACAAACGCGCTTCCAAAGACCTGGTCGTTAAACCTTTCGGTGCCTTTTCGGGATGTGCATGCATACCCTCCCCATTTTCCCCCCTTTCCTTTGACTGTCCTTTGCATTAAAAAAAAAAAAAATCAAATCATCGTTTCGGAGATTAAAGCCTTTTCTATAGAAACTACATTTTTTTTATTTATTTATTTATTTGCCCTCCCTGCTTCTCCTTCATGGAGCATCTGCTCTGACTACGTTTCAGAATTGCACCCATCCGTTTACCAATTATGAGGCGGTTTTCTTCATCACCCGGAGGCCACGAAGGCTGCTGTTTCGTGGCTCTTCAAAAACTCTTCAAAAACGAGACTTTCTGACTTCCGGAGTGTGGGTGGCAAAGGACCCTAAAACGGTGCAAAACTACGAGTGGCCTTCGACTTTTTTTTTTTTTGCTTTTTTATGACCGAGCGGAAAATGCTTTTCTCGTCTCCCCCCCCCCCCCCCCCCCCCCCGAAGTTCTTCAAACAAAACAATTTCCCTCCCCCTCCCCGCCCTTTAATCGATTCGGGATTTAACTTTGCCAAGTTATTTTAGGTTCCACCTCGGTTGAATTAACGAAAAACAGCCGCCACCTCGCACAAAGCTAAACCCCAAAGTTTCAATTTCAAAAAGCTAGGCTGATTTCTCAATGCCGACTAACGAAAGGGACGGAAAATCCGCATTGCCAACTCGGGTGACTCTTAATTCCTACCTTTTAAAAAGAAAATTCGAAGTTTGTTGTAACTTCACTTAAACGCCAAACCAACCCACGGACGGAAATAATTTCCAACGGGCGCCGTTCCTTACACTGAAAAAAGTAGGGAGGTGGAGAATGGAAGCGAGGGAGGGGGGCGAGGGAATCGCTAATTCTGAAATAGCAACGACTTTTGGATACATTGGCGGGTCTTTCACCAAATCCATGAAGACATTTTCCCTGCCCCCTTTTTCAAAGCCGTGTTTTTCAACCACCCCTCAAACAAACAAACGCGAACAAAGAAAAGGAAGGAAGAAAGAAAGAAGGAAAGAAGGAAAGGAAAGAAAGGAAAGAAAAGAAAGGGAGCCATTCATTTTGTCAATGGAAAAGAAAGCAATCCCTGGCGTGACAAGCGAAGGGGCACTCATGCTGGAAAGTGGAAACGACAATGTAAAACGAAGAAAGCCAAATCAGCACTTATTCCGCAGATTTTCCCTTCCGCGTCAACCAGCAATTTCGTAACAACAAGGATAACCGGAATAGACCTCGTGGTTTCGTCTACAATACTCTTGTGTGTGTGTGTGTGAGTGTGTTTCTGCAGCAGTTCGTCCTCGCTTTCCGAAGGGACCCGACCCAAGAAATCAACCCATCTCTACCTTCGCCCAACCTTCCCGTCCCGCAGTTCGCCCCCTCCCAAACCCCCTTTTTTTCCTTTCCCCTTTCCCCAAATCTGCCAAAGGTAAGGAAAAAGAGAGAAGGAGCCGGCCCTCGCTCGAGATTCTCCGCAGCGTCTCGCTTGGGTATCGCTAGGTCCCTGGTCGTCCCCCCCAGCGATAATATTATTATTATTATTATTATTATCTTCCCAAAGAGTCTTTAGTCCAAAGGAGAAGTCCGTTGCCTTCCCAAACTTCAGTTGCTGCCCTCTCCGCGCAGCCCTCGCCCCTCGGTGCCCCCCTCCCCCTGTCCCAAAGTCTCCGCCCTCCCCTTCCCCCAGGCTGCCAAGGTCTCGTAGGGGTGGGGTGGGGGGCTGTGCGCGGGTCCTTTCTCTGGGCCAAGCTCAGTTTGCATGGGGTGGGTTCCGAGAGGGAGACTACTCGGGGGGGTTTGTGTGTGCGTGCGTGTGCGTGTGTGTGTGCGTTTGTCTCGCTTCCTCTCTCTTTCCACTCAGTTTCAGTTGATCGTCCCTCTCCGGGCGTCCAAACCAAGCCCCGGGTTCAACTAACTTAAGGCCCGGCTTTAGTAGGTGGCGGAGAATTTCATGCGTTTTTGCTTCTGTCTCTGGTTGCAAAACCAAACGCGCACCACGTTCTTTTTGAGGTCCAATTTCTCGGCGATGGCGGCGATCTTCTCCGAGGAGGGTCGCGGCTGGACGGCGAAGTAAGCCTCGAGGGAGCGCTTCTCCGGCGCCGCGATGGAAGTCCGCTTGCGCTTCTTCTCGCCGCCGTTGAAAAGCTCCGGCTTGTTCATTTTCTCGCGCTGGGCCCCCTCGGCTTCCTCCAGCCACGCCTGCAGGATGGGCTTGAGCGCGATCATGTTGTTGTGCGAGAGCGTGAGCGACTCGAAGCGGCAGATGGTACTCTGGCTCAGCGAGCCCACGCCGGGGATCTTGAGGTTGGCCAGAGCCGAGCCCACGTCGGCCTGCGTCACGCCCAGCTTGATCCGCCGCTGCTTGAACCGCTCGGCGAAGGCCTCCAGCTCGCGCGGGTCCGTGTCCGAGTCGCAGATAGAAGCCAGGCCGGCGGCGCCTGCAGCTGCGGCCGCGGCGGCGGCGGCGCCTCCGTGGTGAGCCGCCGCCACCAGCCCTGGGTGCGGCAGGCCTGAAGGCATGTTCATGGCCGCAGCGGCCGCCGGGTGCGCCAGGTGGCTCAAGCCGTGCATGTGCGAGTGCGGGTGGGCGGACGTGGAGATCAGCCCCCCGCCTCCACCTCCTCCTCCGCCGCCGCCGCCGCCTGCGGCCCCGCCGCCCGCCCCCTCGTGCGCCCCGCCGCCGGACATGAGCGCCAGCGAAGGGGAGGTGATGTGCTCCAGCAAGTCGCCCGGTTCCAGCGCCTGGTGGTGGTGATGGTGGTGGTGATGGTGGTGGCCCAAGGGCACCGTGGAGGTGGAAGTGCAGGGCACGCTGTTCATGGTGTGGTAAGTGGCGTCCGGCTTGAAAGGGTGGCTTTTGCCCTGCGAGACAGCGATGTCCACGGCGGCTAGAGCCTCTGCCCGCGCCAGCAACGTCTCGTCCAGGGTGGCGAAGAGATTGCCCTGCAGCTGCAACCGACAAAGAGAAAAGGGGCAGCGAGGGAGAGGGGAAAAAAAGGGGGGCATGTTGTGGGGGGAGGGAGGGGAGAGGAAAGCATCCCCGAGAAGGAAAGGAAGGAGGAAGGGAAGCCGCCGCGAAGCGTTAGCCAAAAAAGGGTAAGGGAGAAAGGAGCGGCGGGACGGCGTGGCAAAGGGGATTAAAGGGAAAAGTTGTTTTGTCGTGTAGGAGAAAAGGACGGGTGGGAGGCGGAAGAGAAAGGCGGAAGGGGGCCGAGGGATGCAGGAGAAGAAGGGATGGGGCAGAGGCACCGCCGGGGAGTTGGATGAGCGGTAGAAAAATTGTACCGCCGCGGGAAAATTAATGGGAAGGGTCCACGGATGTAGCGGGGAGAGAGAGAGAGAGAGAGAGAGGCGCGGTGCGTAAGGTTTGGGGACCATTTTGGCCAGAGGAACAGCAGGAAGGAGAAGGACGGAAAGTGAGGACCGGGAGGCAAAAAAAAAAAGGGGGGGGGGGGGGAGGAGGGGAGAGAAAGAAAGAAAAAAAAACAAGGTGGTTAGGCCAGAGAGGAGGGAGGAATCCGCCCCCCCCACCCGCCTTCCCACCGCGGGGGGAAATCGAGGGAGCCTGCCGTGAGCTAGCGAGCCGGGAAGGGAGAGCGAGAAAGGGCGAAAGCGAAGGTGCCAGAGGAGACCCGCTTTCGGCTCGGTTGGCTGCCTCTCGGCCTTCCTTTGCCAGGTCAATTTGGAAAGGAGAACCCGCAAAAAGAAAGAAAGAAAGAAAGAAAGAAAGAAAGAAAGAAAGAAAGAAA